ACTTGGATGTCAGCAAGCTCACGCCTCTATCTCCCGAGGTTATCTCGCGACAAGCGACCATCAACGTTGGTAAGCATGGTCGGACGTTCTGAGTTTACTACTCTTACTACGGCTGTAGGTACCATTGGTCATGTTGCTCACGGCAAGTCGACCGTCGTTCGAGGTCTATCGGGGGTAGGGCATCGTCCCTATCAGCTGTTACGCTCACTGATCACATTGTAGGTTATGACCATTCGATTCAAACAAGAGAAGGAGCGCAACATTACCATCAAGCTGGGATACGCTAACGCTAAAATTTACAAGTGCCAGAATCCCGACTGTCCTAATCCTGGTAGAACACTCTCGCCCTTGCAACTGTAGACTGTCATTACAGGTTGTTACACTTCCCACGGATCTGCCTATCCTGATCGCTACACTGATGAACACGGCGAATGGGTTGTCGTCCGTCACGTATCCTTCGTGGATTGTCCTGGTCATGATATTCTCATGGCTACTATGCTTAATGGTGCTGCAGTAATGGACGCTGCCATGCTGCTTATTGCTGCCAACGAGAAGTGTCCTCAACCACAGGTGATACTAGGCATCTCGCTCTGCTACCTGAAAAGTTACTTCCACAGACTTCCGAACATCTGGCCGCCGTCGAGATAATGCGACTCCGACATTTGATCATACTCCAGAACAAGGTGGAACTGGTTACTGAGGCTGAGGCCCAGCAGCAGTATGCCGATATTCGGTATGATCACATCACACTGGCCTCCTAGAATCCAATGTCATCAGAAACTTCGTCAAGGGTACTGTGGCCGACTCCGCGCCGGTTGTGCCCATCTCGGCCGTGCTTCGATATAACTTGGATGTTGTAGCCGAGTATCTTTGCACTCAAGTACGCGACTGGTCACTCTGCGTCGTCAGAGCATCTTGATTGCGATTCTAGATTCCTATTCCCGTTCGTGATTTCACTTCGTCCCCCCAAATGATCATCATTCGGTCATTCGATGTTAATAAGCCTGGTGAGACTAATACATTCTTCT